GTTAGAAATGTTTCGTCTTCTATAATCGAGAAAGAAAACCTCTCACGTACCTTTGATCCAAAGCTTAACCTCCTCCTCGGTCAACGCGTCTGAAGCCCTTACGACAAATGCTTTGGGTAATTCTCCAGCTTTCTTGTCAGGTACACCAATAACAGCAGCATCACGAATTAAAGGATGAGCAAGCAGCAAGTCTTCAAGTTCAGCGGGTGCCACCTGAAAAAGCGAGGAAATGACGTGGGTCGAATGCCACCCAAAGGGGAACAACTGATGCCGTTTTCAACTCTCACGAGTCAACAACAAATGCCTGAAGGGGGATCTCACAGAGTCATCGTAAAGTACGTGCCGAGTGTGAAAGTGACAGCTTTTAAATGTGTCAAAACTTTGCACGGTCTTGTCGGGCTCAGTGTGAGGAGGAATAGAGGACAATAAAAAAGAAAGGAAGAGATGAATGTGATGAATGGCAGATGTTGACATTTGTAAGTACAAGAACAATGAAGCCATGTGGCAAAGTGTAAAGAAGTAAAACCAAGGCAAACTCGTGCAAAAGTTCAATGAGGAAGTGCTGGAGCGGCTTCGCCCCGGACACGTGCCTGCTATTAAATTTACCTTTACAACAGAGACACTTCGCCAACTGTTTTTCACGAATCCCGGCTTCACAAATGGCCAAGAATTATAAGATTGGGAGCGTGCCCGGTTTGTTTGCATATACACTATCGTCTCAAAACGTTCGAATTCCGGTACTCAGCACCATATGAGGTTTTCATCAACTTGCCGTCACCTTTCCTTCAATCCAAATCACAATTGGGCTGCCTTCTACCTCCACTTCTGCGCCAACAGTTGTTCCTCTTCGACACGGAACGTTCTCTGTAGGGAGGACTGGGTCGATGTAGGCAGATGCGCAGATAAATGCGATACAATACTGCGGACATTGCAATATCAAAAAAGTACGCGATAAGTGGGTAAATTGAAGATTGTTATAAGGCACCTCCCATGGATGTTCGGTTTTGGATGCTGCCAGTTATGTATAAATAAGCTCAGTGGAGAAAAGTCGTGGGCGGTTCGAGCCGAGATCGTCGCTCACGCTATAGCCTAGTTCCGATGAAGTGGCCGCGATGGAGCCTCATACCAACCAATGGGAGATTCTAGTTCAGGAAGAGGAACTTCAAATACTTTGATATGTTGAGTATTCAGAATACTTTTTCTGGAATTCTCCAAANATACAATACTGCGGACATTGCAATATCAAAAAAGTACGGGATAAGTGGTAAATTAGAAATTGTTGTAAGGCACCTCCTATCGATGGTTCGGTTTTGGATGCTGTTATGCATAAAAATTTAATGGAGACAAGCCGGGGCGGTTCAAGCTGAGATCGTCGCTCACGCTATAGCCTAGTTCCGATGAAGTGGCCGCGATGGAGCATCCCGACTCATACCAACCAATGGGAGATTCTAGTTCAGGAAGAGGAACTTCAAATACTTTGATATGTTGAGTATTCAGAATACTTTTTCTGGAATTCTCCAAAAAAGTAATTGTCGAAAATCGAGCCTCAAACGTACTAAATAAGGCAGGACTCTATGGAACAGTCATTCTGTAGGGCTGAAGTGCTATTTAGATTCCATCGCAAGAACTGATTGATATAGATACTTATTTGAGAATGTTCAAAAAATAATCGAGCAAAAAAAGTGTTGTGAAGTGAAGTTCTTGATGAACATATTCTAGGGAAGAACCAAACTGAGAGCAACGGTAAGCAAGGGATGAGTTTGACGCGGTTAACGGAATCTTGTCATCACCTAGGTTGTCGAAAGGTATTCTATGCGCTAGTACTTTCTTTCAAAACTTAAATAGATAAGAAACAAGGAAGATCACTCCACTAAACAGGCATGAGCTCTGATTTTAAAATCACTGAACTGTGATCTGAAAATGTGAACTCGTTCTGTTCCAGTACCCTCAGCGATCCTTAGCGATCCAAGCGAGAGACGGAATCTGTATGAACGCCGCAAATTGTGTGGCGAAATTCGTGGAAGACCCTGGCCCCTAACATTTGCGCACAAATTTGAAGTATGGTAGATGAGTAGCGTGAGCTGGCCCTACTTATCCAATCTACCTAAAAGCTGTTCCCCAATGATAGGCGCCAGAGTCGTTCAAATCACTACGAATATCGCGCAGTTTACCGCCGCGTTCGTCCCGAATTGGGTGAATGTACCCATACCCGATCCAGGCAATTGAAACCTGATATACGAAATCAGGTGAATAATCTCAACGATAGAACCTAAGGCTCCACAAAACAACCAAAAATGAAATAGAAAGAATAGAGAACGTGAGATTAGCTGATGGCTAAATGGAACGTTTGAAACGGTAAAGTTCAAGGAAACAAAAGCAGAATCTTTCATAGTAAAAAAGGTAAAATCAGTAGAACCCTCTGTTCCTATACCCCTTCATTGGTACTCTTTAGGATTGAAGTGATCAATCAAAAGGATGAAAATAAATCGGAAAATGTGTGAACTAGATTTTTCTTCAAATAAATAAGTAAATAAATAATAATCAAATAATAATCAAACAAGTGAATGATGAGAAATGACGATGGACCGACCTGAAGTCCTTTCACTTTGATAAGCTCTTTCAATCGGTCAACAATGAACAGATTCCTGTACTCATCGACATATCCAATATCACCTTAAAGAAAGCTGTTCTTGAGAGTCGAGCATTACCCATGGCAGTGGTAAAATCAGCCCGATCGGGAAGTTAAAGGTGGTCATGATCAATTCACCCGGTTATGCAGCCTACTAATATTGAGGGCCAACGAGGAGACAGTATCTTGTACTCAACTCGGCCACGAAGTTCCCGCAGGGCCGTAATTTTTACCCGGGGTGGTTTACCAATTTTATCGCCATCTTCTATACCGTGAACAAAAAACCCCTTCAGAACATAGAACATGCCTCGGAAGCAAGCTAATCCAGAATAGATCCCTCAAATTCCCAAAAACGCCGTCTTGTACGCCGCGATAGCTAAGTTCACAAATGCGTCCAACTTTTAGAAAAAAATTTGACTATGAACCGTCTCGACGAAATAATCGATAAGCGGGTTCCCATTTTTTACGTTGATGTAAATCTCTTCCCGCGGGTACTGTACTTAAGTGTGAATAACATAACGTTCATGGGGTACCACTTCGACAGCTGCGGACCTTGATTCCCTAACAGATGTTTGAATGATGTGATTGATTGCAGGGTTGCAAAGAATATATCTTTGTGATCGAATGGATATCAGCTGTTACAATAAGTAAAAAGGACAAAATTTTTCGGCATCGATCCAACCTCTTAAGTATTTATGTGCCCAGCATTCGGCTTCTATTCTTAGCCATGACACTTGAATGCTTCTTACGCCTATGTACATAAATTTATACGTAAATGGTAGGTGGTAGGCTGTAGATCTGATTTCAAATCCCGGCACGTTACCCAACTGGGCCAACTAGACCTTTCCGAAGATGAAACGAGTCGATTCATTTTTACCGTGTGGGTGGACGCAAATGCTGCGCATCGACTGACCCTCTCAAGCCTCTGACTGACTGACTGATTGACTGACTAGACTAACGAAGTACCATACAATCACGTCTACATTTCAGAATGGGAGTCGAATACGTGGGCGCATATCAAAAAGGGATTAATCGACTCCGATACTGTCCAAAGTTGGAGTCGATTCTCCTTCCCACCATCCCACGACTATCTAATTCTGCACCCTACCTAGAATTCCTTTCAGACATGTGGCTCTGCCCATCATAAGCCGACCACTTTTTCAGTCGCCATCACCACCACGTGGGAAGAGGGGCTCGTGCTAGTTGATAGAGGATATGAAGTAGGAGGAAGGAACAGATGTTACATAGCTCTTCATTTTTTCTGAATGAAAAACGAGTGAAACGAGAGGAGCTGCTCATTTTAACATCAAAGTTTTTCGTCCTTAAACTGATGACTTCCGTCGCTTTCTTTACTTTTCTTCTTTAGAATAAGAACTAATCAGGACTTGGAGCTGCACCTCGGAAGCAATCCTAGCGAGCCTTTTGCTTGTAGGCCCTTCAGAATCTATGATTTATTCGAAATCACCCAATCCTCAGGTTCCAGGGCCAACTTACTCAATCAAGCACGTTTTTGCTGCCCACTGAGTGTAATGAGTAAGCTTCTCGCTCGGCCCCCGGGGAATCAACAGGCCAATCTCGACAGCTCTGATGCTGATCCCAATAATCAATCGATCACTTACCAGTATGGAGCCATCCATTGATTATCGTACTTTTCGTTGCATCCGGTTTGCCAAGATAACCTAACATGATAGTGGGTCCTTTGATGCAAATCTCGCCGCTCATACCGACAGGCATTTCCATACCGGTGGATGGGTCGATAATCTGGAAATCATAGAAAATGCATGGAAAACAGAAACGTAATGAAAAAAAACGAGAAATGAATTGAGAAAATTACTTTCATACGAAGATTTGACGCCACTTTACCGACGCTTCCAAATGGGACAGAATTTTTGAGATCGGGTAAATGTGATGCCATCGTACATTCTGTCATGCCATAGCCTGAAGTGATTCAGCTCATTTTGAGGATTTGGAGGACTAAACTTACCAATACGGCCTGGCTGCAATAACAAAATAAAAAACGCATGATTCTGACTGTCGTTGGAATCAGGACGGTGCAGAGCGCAGTGAGGTAGCGGAGGTGGGACCGCAGCCACAGACTCCCGGTATGGGAATCAAGCCCCGAAGCAGTAACCATTCATGCCAACCAAGACACCGGGATCGGTAAACCGGAACTTTACCCACTTGAGAGGGCAAAACCCGTGACTTTTTGATCAGATGGCTCTGCAAGTCATCATGTAAGCCGAAAACCATCCGATTCTATGGCCCTGAAATGAAGTTGAATGTGTGGGGGCCAAAAGCCTTTTTTTGTGCCTTCTAACCAAAACTGAAAAGAAGTTCGAGACAAAAGATTGTCCATTCTGAGCTACCTGCCCACTTCGAACCGGAAACAAAGTTGAAAGCGGGCTGACTAATTGAAATTCGAAGCTTTCTTGGAAGCATCTCGGGGGCCAGGTGAGCCCAACATTTGCTTGATCCATGATTCCTGGTCGCACGACCAACAACACAACATTAATCAACATGAGCTGCTCTGCTGGTGAACTATAGCTTTCCAGGACCTTATCAAATGGCTGTATATGGTAAAGAACTACATTATCGATTATGCATGCGTAAAATCAATACCTATGTTAATGCACATGATTATGAAAGTCTGAATTAAAAGTTCAGTGATTGTTTTCACGCTCATGCAGCGAGTAGAAAATGGTAATTCATGCATACAATTGTAGTTTTCCCAATTGGGAGGAGAGATAACCTCAAGGCGCAGGATGGAGATTCCGAGGGACGTTTCCTCTATAGATTTATCACATAAAAGGAACTATAACTCGATACTCACCAACCACAACGTGTGGCTTCATAAAGTGGTAGAAGACCTTTACTGGGCATCTTCTACACATCCTGAAGATCCAGGGATCACAACAAGTCAGTGATTTTAGAACTGCTAGAGCTGCTGTTAGGGCGAGGTGCTGGTTCGACGGACAATCCCACCACTACCACCAGCCACCACGTAGGACATACGCGTCAGTTGCGCTTTACGATGATCCAGTCATGCGCCCGAAGAAATAGTCAGGGATTTGTGGAGCCGAAGATGTCAGCTCAGCTGTTTGCAGTGCTTGATGATGATGGCATCGGTCAAGCGCTGGCATCACGTCTCGGGCACCGCCTCCAACGCTTTCCGTTACTATTTATAGTCAACCACTCGGGGAAATCGGAAACAAATTCGGGGAACGAACCTTGTTGGATGTATTTCATGTTTGGATACTTCTTCGACAATTCTTCGCAAATATCCTTGCCAGC